GTGTGTGTGTGTGTTTGTTGTGTTGTGATCTGCTCTGTGCTCTGTTGTCCCCTCTTTCTTTCTCTGTGTCTCCTCTTCATCCGTCCTCCATCACATCCTCTTCTTTCTTTCACGTGACTTCGAGTCGACGACGACACAGCAGCCGCCGCATCCTCTCTGTCGCTTCTGGTGGTGTTGGTAGTCAGCAACGTTCAGTCAGTCACACAGTTTTAGTGAGCAGCAGCAGCAGCAAGTGAGCCTGCATTTGCTGCTGTTTTGCCCAGACACTATCAGCATCACTAGAGTCACTCGTTGATGAGCCAGTCTGTGAGTCTCTGTCTGTCTGTGTCTGTATATGTTGATCAGTCTGTCTGAGCATTTTCATTTCTGCTCTCAGCAGGCTGCTGCTGCTGCTGATGATGATGATGTTCGCCTAATCAGGGTCTCTCTGTTCAGGCACTTTTTAGTTTTCCTCTGATTACCACCACCACAACTCAGTCAGCGATCACTTCTTCAGAGCAATTGTATCGAAATCTGTTGCCTAGGAGTAGGAAACTTGACACCTCAAGTTTACCGCTCCATACAGTGAGCTCTTCTTTGGGGCACTCTTCGGGCACAGAGGAGGGAGGAGGGGGGGAGGGAAAGAACATAAGCAAAAGATTAGGGTTTCACTCGGAGCACTTCGGAACACTTCTTCTTCTTTCATCGCTTTCTGGGCATCGTCAAAGCTGCTGCTGCTGCTGCTGCCTCAGTGGCTGAAAACGCTGCGAACCTCTTTCTTTCTTTGCCTCCTTCTTCTTCTTCTTGGTCGGCAGTGGTAGTTAAAGAAAAAGAGCCAGCCGAGAGCTACTACCTGGTCTGCTGCAGGCAGCAGGCAAAGCAGTCACCCCGAGCGGCGGCAGTGCAGCAATGCCAACTCTCTCTCTCTCTCGAGCAGGATTACAAGCACCTTTCGTCGTCGTCGTCGCTGTAGTTGTCGTCGTTGTCGTGGTCGTCGCCGACGCCGCCGCCGCCGCCGCCGCCGCCGTCGTTTGCTGTACGTGTACGATCGCCGAGGATACTCATACACAGTCTGACTGTCTGTCTGTAGCACTGCTGGCACTGGCACTTTGTCTATCGGCTAGACCAGCCGACAGCCACTTTTTCTTTCTTTGTGATCTCCTTCTCCTTTTCTTTGTCTTGTAAGAGGTAGCTACAGACAGATTGGATTGCACAATCAGACAAAAGAGTGTTTTTAGTTTTAGTAAGAAAGATGCAATTTTAGAGTAAAAAAGTGTTTTTAGGCTGTAGCAATAATTGGCAATTATGTGGCTGCAGCAGCAGCAGCAGTACCTACTTTAGTGCCAGTGTCACAGTGGTGTGTTTAGGAGGGAATCATCAGCGGCAGCAAAAAGAGCTGCTGATGAGAAGGATTCCAACGATGACGATGTCTTCCTCCTTCTTTCTTTCACTTCCCCCTTTCCCTCTCTGATTGCAAACCTTATCAGCAGTGCTCGGTGGCAAACCGATTAGCTGTTTACCACCACCACCACCACCACCACTCTACCTCAACTCATTGTCTCGGTGCAGGTGACACTCTGCTCTGCCTGTCACTGCGACTATGTCTGTGTGTTTGCCAACCGCCAGTCCAGTAACCAAAACACCAACAACAAAAACCAGAAAAGCTGTTGCTGCTGTTCTCCTCCTCCTCCTCCTTCTTTTGATGTTTGCTATCACCACTAACACCGCCAAAAAAAAAATAATCAACAACAACAATCAATCTGCACTCAACAGAGGCAGCTGCTGCAGCAGGCAGTTTTAGTGTATCCTCTTTATATTGTTTTGGATTAGATTTTTGCTGACTGATGATGGCGATGATGATGTGTCCACTGCTGCTGATCGGTGGTGATCGATGCTGCTGCAGTGGCATTACTTAAAAGTATCATCATCATTCATTCATTAGCACCACCTCAATCTTCTTGAGAATGTAATTCCCAGAACAGTAGAATGCAGAATCTTCGGCGACCCCCTTTTCCAGTAAACCTTGAACTGCTGCTGCTGCTGCTGCTACCATTGCTGTACAATTTTCTGGCACACTTTCTGCTGCTGCTGCTGTACACTGCAGCAGCGGTGTACGGCAACGACAACGGGATCGAGCGCGCGCACATTTCCTACGTCAGAGCCTCTCCGCCGCTGCCGAGCATTTCTATTTGCTCTTTTGTTGACCCATTTTCGGCTGCTGAACCAGAAAATGGCTCACGTCTCAGTGGGCTGCCTGGCTGACTCTCTCTCTCTCTCTCTCTCTCTCTTTCCCGTTCGCTGGCTGGCTGCTGAGCTGAGCTGTTATGCTACTGAAATGAAAAAAGTTTGTTTGTTGTTTTTGTAACTTGAAGCCCTGCTGCCGCTGGTTCGGCTCGGTTCTGGTCTGTGTTTTGACATAGGAGCTCAGCGTCAGTTCCAGTGCCAGTTTTTGCCAGTGGTCCAGTGATGCGTGTGCCGTGTCGATAGGATGCTGATGATGTTCAGGGAAACAGCAGGCAGACCGAGAAATCATCATAGTAATCAAAAGAGCGGAAACAGCATTGCAGCATTTCTTTTCGGAAAAAGCAGGATTTCTATTTACTGTTTTTGTTTACAGTTTTTTTGAACGACAGTTGACAGTTTTCTTCCCAGCAGCCCAACACTAGGCGATTTAATTAAATGCTTGCTTTCTTACTGAACCAGTGTTCTAATTTGTCTTCTTCTTTCTTGTTCTAATTTCCAGAAACCAGAAGTGCCTACTCAATGAGCAACGTCGCCGCCGTGAGCAGGAGACCTTCTACATTGAAGAGCTAGCAGCGCTGATCACAGCCAACCAAGGACAAGGACTGGATGAGATGANAACCTCTGTGATTTTGGAACTTGCAAGCATTGCTCTCCCACTCTATTTAGAGTGGTGTATCTCACTGTAATGAGTTAGTTATTCTCTAGTTTTTAGTTGAATAAACGTTTTCTATCAGCTTACGCTCTCACTGCCTTCCAACACTTTATGAGCCAGTGTTCTAATTTGTCTTTTTCTTTTTCTTCTTTCCCTCCCAATCTTTTCCAGAAACCAGAAGTGCCTACTCAATGAGCAACGTCGCCGCCGTGAGCAGGAGACCTTCTACATTGAAGAGCTAGCAGCGCTGATCACAGCCAACCAAGGACAAGGACTGGATGAGATGAACTCACTCTCGGTGAAGCCGGACAAGTGTGCCATACTGCAGGAGACGGTGAAACAGATTCAATCGATCAGCCAGAGTGAGTAGTGCTGACTGATTCAGTGAGGAAACTGTCAAATGTTTAACTCTCTTTTAATGTTTAACTCTTCAGGCCAAGCCGATGACTTGCAGGCATCGGAGGTGAGCTCCTCTCGGCCGAACTGCATCCAGCCAGCGGACATCAGTACGCTGCTCCTCGAGACGCTAAACTGCTTCATCTTCACTCTCAACTCGGAGGGCTTCGTTGACTATGTCAGCGATAACGTACACAAATTCCTCAAGTACACACCTGTAAGTGTACAGTTTTGTTTGTCTGTTGTTGTTTGAAAATTATCTCAAACTCAATTCTATTTCTACCCTGTTCTCTCCCCGATTAGAATGAACTAATCAGCAAGTCCATCTTTGACATTCTCCATCCCGACGACCATCCCATATTCAGCTCCCAACTGCTGTCAATGGCAGCCGTGGGTAATGGCCTCAACTCAAACTGGTCATCCACCTCCTCCTCCTCCTCAAAGGCCACCAACTCCACGAGCGACGCCAGCAGCAGCAACCACACCGGCGAAAACCAGATGAGTTCGACCGGCGGTAACAACAACGGTAACAACGGCAACAACAACGGCAACAACAACAGCAGTACCTCTTCTACGAGCACCTCCTCCTTTGGCTCCTCGGCCGGCCTGGGCTCCTCCTCACAGTTGACCTCCAGTAGTTCTGCGGCAATTTCGCTGTTGCAGTCACCAAACAGCAGCAGCGGAAACAACAACAACAACAACCAGCAGCGTTTCGACTCGAGGTTCCTCGTCAAGCAGGAGGTGTCCAGTACGGTGGCCGATGACGATGACGATGACGACGACGAGCACTTTGACGGCGACGACGACGATGATGATATCATTCTGGAGAAAAAAGTCGATGGAGGTGATTTGAGCGAAGAGGACGGCGACATTTCACTGATTGAGTCAAAGGAGAGCCACGACCACCGCTCGAAGACTGCTGCGGGAAAGAAGGGTGGATCCTCCTCTTCTACTGATGGCTCCAGCAGGCGAGTCCTTGATCTCGCGTCGATGCTCGAGGGTACCGGCGAAGGTGGTGGTGGGGGTGAAAACCGTTCTTCGAAGCAATCTTCGGCGGCCCTGAAGGCGAAGCGCCGGCGGCTGCGGCTGATGAAGGAGCTCCGCCTGCCGAAGTACGAGCACATGGTCGTCCACACGAAGATGTACCCCAATCCGGAGAGTCTTCGCCAGCAGCTGGAGGGCTCCGCGGGCACCACCGTCTCGGCGACGGGCGGAAATGGCGGCGGCAATGGCTCAGGAGGTAGTGGCAATGCTAGCGGTGCCGGATCATCCACTTCTGCATCGGGATCTTCCGGAAACGCTGGGGCCTCCTCCTCCTCCTCGTCAAGCACCTCAGGGAGTTCTTCTTCCGGTCACCACCACCACCAGGAGAGCAACACTGCGCAGGCCGCCTCCTCCTCCTCTTCCTCCTCCTCCTCCGATGAGAACCGCCTCCTCTGCATCGCCATACCGAACAGCGAGAAGGCGAGCGGCAGTGTGCAGATTGAGACCTTTACCACCCGCCTTGACCACAAGGGCTTCGTCCTGGACCTGGACACGAGCGCCGTCTCCGCCGCCTACCGCGGCTTCCTCGACACCTCGCTGAAGAATGAGCTCTTCCTCAAGTTTGTCCACCCGGACGCGATGCACAAGGTGCAAGGCCACCTGAAGGAGGCCTTCAAGAGCGGGCAGGCGATCTCGCCGGTGTACCGGTTTAAGGTAACAAGTTTAGGATTCAGAGTTTTTAAGACTAACTTAACATTTTGTTATTATTTGCAGATTTCGAACGACAGGTACATCAACGTGCAGACCAAGTCGCGCACCATCTCGCAGGGCATCGTCTTTGCAACGCATTCCATCATTCGTGACGCCGACAGCGAGATTGTGGTGGCGGCAGTTGCGGCTGCGGCTGCTACTGCTGCTACTGCCTCTTCTTCCACTTCGGCTACCGCCACCGCCACTCCTCCTCAACGATCTTCACAGCAGGCACCACCACCGCCTACCGCCACCATTACCACTGCAGGAAATAGTAATAATAATCCGATGATAATGACCAGTGGTGGTAGTGCATCTTCTCAATCGGGGACGGCTGCGACGACGACGATCAGCCTCTTCAACAGTGATTCTTCCGATCTGGTCAGCTTGAACAATAACAGCAGTAGCAGCAACAGTATCGTCAGCTCGATGCCGCCGACGATGATGATCTCCACGTCCAGTGCTGCCGCTGGACACAGTAACATGGTCTCGCAGGCGCAGATGGCCATTGCCACGAAGAGCTCGGCAGCGACTGTCGCCAATGCTGGTGCTGGTGGTGGTGGTGACATGCAACAAAAGCGACTCATCATGATGACATCCAATGCAAACAACCAACAGCAGCAGCAAAACTGGGGCAATATGGTGGCCACCACGGCCAACAACAACAGCAACAGCAACAACAGCTCAACAATGTTCTCACTGGCGCAGCAGCAGCAGCAGCCGATGATGATGAATCAGATGAGCATGAGCAATGGTAAGTAGTAGTTGTTGTGGTTGGCCTGTGTTTCGGTTAGCAAGTTATCCATCACCAGTGAAATGCTGCTGCTCGAATGTTTCATGTTTGTGGGGTAGAGACTACCTCTCGACCTTTTGAAGTTACTCATTAGATTTTCACTCTCATCAGAGTTGGTGTTTGTTCTGTGTAGGAGTAGTAATGACAGTGTCAGTTTTAGTGTGGTAAAACGGCAGTCGTACAGTCTATCTCTGCTCATCACCCGCTATGTTATCATCTTCTTGACGTCTTATCATCTGTTCCTTTCTTTCTCTTTCTCTAAAATTAGCCTCCCTCTCGACGGTCACCTCCTTCACTGGTGGTGGTGCTCACAACAGTGGACAGCAACCGCCGATGCTACAACAGCAACAGCAGCAGCACAATTTACAGATGTCATCGNTGTTCCTTTCTTTCTCTTTCTCTAAAATTAGCCTCCCTCTCGACGGTCACCTCCTTCACTGGTGGTGGTGCTCACAACAGTGGACAGCAACCGCCGATGCTACAACAGCAACAGCAGCAGCACAATTTACAGATGTCATCGGCGAGCTTGGCGACGACCAGTGCATCAAGTCTGAATCAGCCGCAGACGATTTCAGTATCCTCTGCTGCTCAGCAACAGCAGCAACAACAACAGCAGCAGCAGCAGCTGCTAAGCAACTTTGCGCCGAGCTCACCGAACAGCAACTCCATACCCTTCGATGACATGGACATGTTCAGCGGCGTCAACTGGGACAGCTTTGGCGCCGACGAGCCGACCACGACGGTCGATCTGCCGCTTACCACCAGCCAAGGCCAAGGATCATCTCAAAATGGCGGCCCGGGTGGCTTCCTCGAGCACGTCGGCGCCTCCTCTTATGGGCCCACGGGAACTACCACCTCCACCGGGGGCTCTTCGATGGCCACGCTGCTCACCTCCTGTTCACCCTCGCAGAACAACAGCAACAACAGTGATGATAAGCTGAGGAATTTGCTAACGGGGGGCAACGGTGGTGGTGGTGGTGGTGGTCAGCAGCACCCACCTCACCCTCAGCCGGGCCTCGCCACCGCCGTTCGCCTGAACTCCCTCAACTCCAACTCCAACTCCTCCAGTGATATCATCCTCCGCGAGCTGCTCGACAATGAGGACATTGGCGATGGGACAGGTGGCGGCAGCAATGTTCCCGGCGACCTGCCCAATCTGGTCTCTCAGCAGCCCACTGCTGGCCAGCTGAGGCCAGCAGCCTCTTCAGGTCCTGGTGGCTTCAGCGGTGGTCATCAGCAGTTGATGGACGGAGGTAGTAGTCAACAGCAGCAGCAGCTGCCACTGGCCAGCAAATCATCAGTTGGTGGTGGAAATAATCAGCAGCAGCAGTTGCTATCTCAGCAGCAGCAGCAGCAGCTCAAGTCAGGCGGCAATAATAACATGCTGCGAATGTTGCTCAACGATGACGAGATGCTGAAGCCGGGAGGAGGTGGTGGTAGTGCCGGAGCTGCAAATTCTGGTGGTGGCAATCCACTGGTTCGAAAAACGGATCCAATGCTTGACACGTCGACGACGACGACGACGGCGTCGACAGCCTCGCCGGCGGTGTTTCCGCTCTCAGTCAAGCAGGAGGATCCGAATAATAATCTTTTAGGTAAGGGGACTGAAAAGTTTTTTACTTTGTGAATGAATTTTTACTAACTAATCACTTGGCTTTTTTCAGAATGCGGCATCAAGCGAAAGACCTCCTTTGACCAGCAGGGTCTCTTCTCTTCGATGGACGGCCCCAACTCTGACTCAAAGCGAATGATGACCTCCTTTCAGCAGCAGTCTGCCAACAACAACAATCAACCGACGAGCTTTGGAGGTGCTGGTGGCCAATTTTCTGGTCAGCTGACGCCAACACAACAGGTGCAGCACCAGCAGCACATGCTTCAGCAGCAGCAGCAGCAGCATCACCAACAACAACAGCAACTTCATCTGCATCAGCAGCAGCTTCAAATGCAACAGCAAATGCAACAGCAACAACAGCAACAACAGGGGCAAAACAATGGCCAGCAGCAGGGACAGGGACAGAATCCACCTGCCCAGCAGCTGGCCAACCAGAATCCGATGTTGGCGCGAATGCTCGCCAAGACACCCAACACGCTGCCTGAGGAGCAGAAGATGTCGAAGATTGACTCGCTGATCAGCGTGACGCCGGATGTGAAGTTGCCCAGAGATCTCGAGCAGAAGCTGCAGCCGACGCCGGCGCTTCCGGGTCACCCCGGGCAGATGATGCCTAATCAACAACAGCAAATGGGGCCGATGCAAATGCAGATGCAGCTTTTGCCTCAACAACAGCAACAAATGCATCAGCACCAGATGGTCAATTTGCAGCAACAGCATCAGTTGCAGAACCATCATCCACAGCAGCAGCATCAACTTCAGTCAGGTGGTCAAGTGCCAGTGTCGCAGCAGCAGCAACAACTGCACATGAACATGAACATGATGCACTTGAAGCAGCAGCAACAACAGCAGCACATGACCATTCCCTCCCCGGGACTGACTGGACCATCATCCGGACTGCCGCCTGGTCAGCCCGGTGCTCCGATGAGCCTGCAGCAGCAGCAGTTTGCTACCAAGTCATCGGCCATTCCTCTAGGCCAACAGCTGAACGTCACACTGAGGCCAAATCCGCAGGTAAGTGCTCGATTTAAAATTTTTTAATGAATTTGGATGAATGCAAATATGCATAAAAAACAAAAAGCACCCACTTTCACTACCTAACCTTTGCTCTAATTTACACTCCTTCGTTCATTCATTCATTCAGATTTCCGCCATAAACTTTCAACAGCAGCAGCAGCAGCGTAATCCACTGAACGCCAATCAAATGCGCCAAGTGCTGAGAGCGCAGCAGCAGCAGCAGTCGGTGCAGAACTCGACCAGCAGCAGCGACCACCAACTCCAACAGGTTCTGCAGCAGCAACAGCAGCAGCAGGGGCAGGGACAGCCCATCCTGCAGCTGCAGTCGCCGATGACCGTCGGTCAGCAGATCGCCAACCAGAAGCAGCTGGCAGAGGCGAGAGTGCAGGCGGCGGCCGCCGTTCAGCAGGCCAACCAGGCGGCGGCGGTGGCGGCCGCTGCGGCAGCAGCCGCCGCCGCAGCAGCTTCATCAGCCGCTTCAGTGCCAGTGCCAGTGGCGGCAGCAGTGCCACCGCCGGGCGCCACAGCCAACCGAACACTGGCTGGTGCAGCCAGTGCGACCACTACCACTGCTGCCAACTCTGCAGCTCTTCTCCTCGGTGGTGGTGGCTCTTCAGTCAACTCCACGTCTCTTGCCCAACTACAGCAAACTGGTGGTGGCAGTCAGCAGCAGCAGCAGGCACAACTGATGCATCAAGGTCAGATCCGAACGAGGTTGTTGCAGCAGCAGCCGCCACAACTAGTCGCCGGCCAGCAAGTGCAGCAGCAGCAGGCACAACTTGGCAAGCCAGTCGTCAGCCTGCAGAGCAGTCTGCAGCAGAACGCGGCCAGTGGACAGCAGCAGCAGTCGAACGTCGTCGCATCGTCGCTCGTCAGCAGCGTCACCAACGCTGTAAACAGTAACGGCCCTAGCCTCATCAGCAGCAGCAGCAGCCTCGGTGGTGGTAGTAGTCTGGCCGCACAGCTGAACAGTCACGGGCCTCCTCACCATCACCAGCTCCATCAGCAGCAGCAGCACTTTACACTGAACGCCCTCGGCGGTGGTGGACCATCGCCTCATCCATCGATGGCGCCGACGCTTGTCCAGCAACACCAACAGCACCCGCAGCAGCATCCGCAACAGCACCAACATCAGCAGCAGCAGCAGCACCTTCAGTCGGCAGGAATGATGAGCGGCGGAAATGGCGGTGGACCCCTCTCTGCTTCCCAGCCACCTCATCACCACCACCCCTCTTCTCATCCATCTCACCCTCATCCTCACCTCCACCATCAGCAGCAGCAGCAGCAGCAGCAGCACTCACTGCTTTCCTCCTCCACCACCTCCTCCTCCTCGGCCATGAACATCGGCTCCAGCTCCTCACTGCTGGACATGGAGGAGGACGATGAACTGAACGACATTCTCCAGTCGGTGATTGACTTTGATATGACGCCTCTGCCGCCCCTCACCCCCTACGGTGGTGGTGGCTCGGCTGGAAGTTTAGGAGGAGGTAGTGGAGGAGGAGGTGGTCCTGGAGGAAGTGGTTCACTGGTCAGCGGCGGCGGAAATGGAGGAAGTGGTGGTAGTGGTGGTGGTGGCGGAAACCTCGGCGGCAGCGTCGGCCTCGCCAATCCCAGCCTGAGCAATCTGCTGATCAACGTTCCTAGCGCAGGAAGTCGACGCGGCAGCGGCGTGGTCGGAGGAAATGGCCCTGCTACTTCCGGAGACCCCTCTGAGCTCAGTCTGTCGGGGCTGAGCACGCCCGACTCGGTGCAGTCCTCCTCTGACTCCTTCAGCCTCAATCTGAATGACAAGCAGAAGGCGATCAGCGAAATTCGCCAGCAGCTGATGCTGACGGCGGAGCAGATGAGCGGCGGTGGGAATGGAAACGGTGGTGGTCCCAAGTCAGCATCATCCAACAGCGGCAGCATGCAATTTGGCGGCCCACTGACGCCCCAGTCGCCCATGTTTCTGGGCAGTGTAAGCGGAAGTGGCGGAGGTGGACCACCGCCGCCGCTGGGACCGCCACCGAACTACCAAAGTTCGATGGGAGGACCACCGCAGCAGCAGCAGCAGCAGCAGCCGCCACCGCCGAGCTATCCGTCAAACTTTAACAATCAGGTAATTAATCGACTTTAGTTGTGATAGAAGTTGATGACGATGGTGATTGTGAGATCACGATCATCAATCATTACCGCTTTTATCATCATGAGCACTACTTTAATTTAATCAAAACACCATCATGATTTTTCAGGTACCCAACCAGTCACCGTTTAACAGAGGTGGTGGTGGTGGTCCTCCTGGTGCACTGCCGCCCAATCAGATGCTGATGGCCAGTCGATCCCCTCTGGCAAGAGGTCAACTTCTTGGCGGACCGCAGAACCGTCAAATGTCCATGCAACAGCAACAACAGCAGCAGCACCAACTTCAACTGGTCAACAGCATTCGCATGCCCAAAGGAGGTCCTGGTGGTGGCGGTCTGGTGAACCTGCCGCCCGGAGCGCAGCAGCAGCTCAGTCAGCTGAATCAACAGCTCGCCAACAGCAGTAACAGCGGCGGCAACAGCAAACTACCGCAGAGCCAACTGGCGCTGGAGCAGCAGCGACGACTGCTGCTCGACCGTCAGCAGCAGCAGATGATCACGCAGTCGTCGTCCTCCGCTTCTTCTTCAGTGATCGGCAGTGGAGGCAGCAGTGTCGGAGTTGGTGGTGGTCAGGGTGGCCACAACGCACACGGCGTCGGCAACGATGGTAATGATGGCAGTACTGGCAGTGCTGGCAACGGCAGCGGCAACAACAGCAGCTACGGCTTCGGCCAGACCAGTCTGAGCGACCTCAATGGCCTACTTAACTCGAGCGCTCCGGCGCCCAATGTGATGGTGCAGATGAAGCCGCGCAGTGTGCTCGCCAACTCCTCCTCCTCCTCAACGGAAGCCACGCTGATTGCCCCCAGCCCCACCTCAAACCACAGTTCATCTTCGGCGGCCACCACCTCCGGAGCCATCCTCCTACCTCAGTCGCCGGCGCCCGGCAGTAGTCAGCTGTCGCCGGGACCAAACGGAGCACCACCTCCTGGTGCTTTGAGAACCAGCGGTGGTCCGCCGCCCTCCTTTTCGCCCCTCGGAAGTGGCCCTGGAGGTCCTCATTCGGTCTACGGAGCTAGTCCTCAGCAGCAGTCGAGTCAGCAGACAAATCGAATGTCTCCAGGCCACTTTGGCGGCGGCGGTCCTGCCTCTGCGTCGCCCAGTCCGGCGCCGCCAATGTCGCCGCTGGTTGCCTCGTCACCCTCGGGACAACCGGTTGGCAGTGTTGGCGGTGGTGGTATTGGCGGGCCGCCCTCAGTCGGCAGCGGTGGCACGCTGACACCAATCAGCTGGCAGACTGCTCAGTCGCCNCTGGCCGTCAGCAGACGGTGCCGCTCTCTCCTGCGCAGCAGCAGCAGCATCAGGTCATGTCGCCCGTCTCCTCGTCCACTTCTTCAGGCGGTCCAGGGCAGGCGATGTCCATTCAGCAGAAGAGCAATCCGATGCTCAATGCGCAGCTTGCTGGTAAGTGATTGCTAACATAGACGGAAACTTTTTGTTTGTCATTGCTAACTCTTTGATCAACAGGTGTCCGCTTTCAACAGCAGCACGGCGGACGGATTCGCCTGCAGACGCCCAACCAGCAACCGGGCCTGCAGCAGCAGCTTCGTCACACTGGCGGTCAGCAGCAGATGAGCATGCAGCGGCCTGGACAGCAGCAGCAGCAGTACCACCAGCAGCAGGACATGCACCAGCAGCAGTTTCCGGGCGGAAATCAGCAGCAGCAGCAGATGATGCAGATGCAGAGGGCCCAGCAACAGCAGCAGCAGCAAACGCACGGCCGAATGATCATCGGCCCGAATGGCCAGCGAATGTTCATTCAGCAGCAGCAGCCAGGTCAGATGGGCCTCGGGCCTCAGCAGGGGCCGATGCAGCAGCAGCAGTCGAACATGAACACTTTTGGCGGCATGAACGCTGCCCAACAGCAGCAGCAGCAAATGAAGCTGGTCGACTCGAGCGGTGGCGGAGGACAGCAGTTTGGTGGTGGTGGACACATGTCCGCCCCATTGCCCAGCTCCTCAATGTTCAACAGCAGCAGCGGTGTTGGTGGTGGTAATCAGCCGTCATCAGCGATCGGCAGCCAGCGAGCCTCTCCGTCGATGAACAGCAACAGCGACAACAGTAGTCTGCTTTCTGCTTTTGATAACACTGGCTCCAGTCAGCAGCAGCACTCGCCCTTTTCCATGCCCGGCGACATTACCTCCTCATCGCCGTCCTCCTCCTCCGCAAACACGCTCAGCAGTCTTGTCGGCGGAGGTGACAGTGGTAGAGGCGGAGGTGGAGGAAACTCAAACTCCAACAACAACAACAACTCCAACAAGACAAACGCCTCTGACTTTGTGAAGCAGGAGCTGCGGACGCTCGTTAGTGGTCGTTCAAACATCGCCCACCAACAGCAACTTCACCAACAGCAGCAGCAGTCTTTGCTAGTTCAGCAACAACACCAACAGCAACAACAGCACCAGCAGCACCAACAACAGCAACACCAACAACAACAGCACCAGCATCAACAACAACAACAACATCAGCAGCAGCAGCAACATCATCAGCAGCAGATGCAAATGCAGGGCGTCGCCTCGCCGGCAATGGCGCCCTCCTCTTCATCATCATCTTCGGCCATTGCTCCCTCGTCCTCTTCTTCATCCTCTGCAGCCGCCGCCTCCTCCTCCTCCTCCTCAGGCCTGACCTCGGCGGCGACGATGCTCGACAACTCCATCGACTTTACTTCGCTGGAGTTTGACTTTGACTTTGAGTTTGACGACATTGACACGCCGCCCAGCTCAAATATGGGCTTCGGTGGCGGTGGTGGTGGTGGCCAACAACAGAACAGTATTAACAGCATGGTCGGCGGAGGAGGTGGAGGAATGAATCAGATGGGTGTCATCGGTGCTGGAGGCGGCGGCGGCGGTGGTGTTATTCCCATGAACAGCATCACCGTCGGCAATGGCAGCGGCGGCGGAGGTGGCCCAGTGTCTGTTGGGCCACTCAGCAGGAACAACTCTGTGGTAATTACAAACAAAAAACGCTGTTTGTTGTTTTAGAACTAATCTCTTTCATTTCTTGATTTTTTGCAGGAGGGCCAAAGGCCAAGCGAAAGTCAAAGTCTTCTGCAGCGACTGCTCTCTGAAGGCTGAAATGCTAACACTAACTTCCTACTTCCTTCCTTCCAGTCCTCATTTTGTCTCCTTCTGTCTCCTTCTAGCCTCCCTCATTTTCTCAGCATCTCAACTCGCACTACATTTCCTTTCTTTCATTTCTCACTTACACTCTGCATCATCATCACAATTATCATCACTACCATCATCCTTTGACCCACCTTTTAACTTTCTCATTCTGACCAGGCTAACTCTCTCTTTTTCTGGGCACTGCATTTTTCTTCTTTTCCTTTTCATTATCACCATTGACCTTCTTTCTCTCTCACGTCTCTCACCTAATTTGGCCTTATTTACCTTATGATTTCGTCACTCTCATCACCACCACCACAAAAACTAATTTAATTGTTATCTTTTCTTCTTCCTTTTGTATATTTGTTTATCAAGTCTCTTTCTCTTGACAGGACACCACTTCTTTGTTTTGTACATTGTTGCTCTCTCTCTTTCTCACTCTCTGCATAACTCTTTGCATCTCTCTTTCTCAAAATTTTCATCATCTATTTCTTTTCCGAAAAGTCACCGTACAAGACTTTGTGTAAGCAGCTTTCTGTTTCCCAGTCTGTGAAGTTGACGTTCCTTTTCCTCCTTCTTCTTTTCTTGTTATACTTTTTTCTTTTTTTCTGTTTTTGGTTTTACTTTTTGTTTTTGCTCCTTTTCCTTTCCTCTTTTATCTCAACCACCTTCGCCTGTACAAACACATACACACACANAAAATTTTCATCATCTATTTCTTTTCCGAAAAGTCACCGTACAAGACTTTGTGTAAGCAGCTTTCTGTTTCCCAGTCTGTGAAGTTGACGTTCCTTTTCCTCCTTCTTCTTTTCTTGTTATACTTTTTTCTTTTTTTCTGTTTTTGGTTTTACTTTTTGTTTTTGCTCCTTTTCCTTTCCTCTTTTATCTCAACCACCTTCGCCTGTACAAACACATACACACACACTCTTCCTCTCAGTCTCACCACAAACAAACGAAAACTGATTTGTGATATAATATTAATTTAACAATATTATTATTTAACCTGATTGCTAATTGTAAAAACGAAATGAAAGTGGTTTTGTTCAGCAGACTTCAACAAACTAAAATCACGTTACCACTTTTCCACCTTAGCGTGGGATAACAACACCCCTCCCCTTGATGATGATAAGCAAAAAGCAAAAAGTATAAAATATAAAAACTATTTTATTTTTATTTTCTTTTTATTTTATTTTTCTTATCAATTAAAGAAATAACGAAATAATTAATATTTAAAACAAACCCTCGCGTTTTCCTTGTTTTTACTTTTTTCAATTTTTATTTATTTTATTTTGATACATTAACTGAATTCCCTTTCCCTCCCGCCCAACCTTTTCTACCTGAACAAACAAACTCCCGCTTTGAATCGGAAACTTCTTCATTACTTGACTATTTCCTCATTGATCTTTCACTGCTCAGCATTCTTTTCTCCTCTTCATCATCTCAGACTGAAACATTTTCATTACCCAAAGTACTGCTACTTTTTCACCATTCCATCATCATCACATCAACATTTCCTGCATTTCCTTACTCTCTATACTATTCTCATTTTATAACCTCCTTTACTCTCTCTCTCTCTCTCTCTCTCACTATCTTCAACTACTACTAACCACCACTTCTTAACACCACTTTTCACCACATTTTTATTTTTGATTTCCCTTCCACCCTCTCCTGAAAGCTCTTTAACTACTGTTACACCATTTCACAAACATTTATCTTTTCCCTATCAATGATATGATCTATATTTAACGTTTGAAATTATTCTAAATCCATTTATCAACTGCAAATGAAAAAAAGTTATAACAGAACACTCTTGAATACAAATATTTCACTAAGCCTATGACTACTGTATAGAAATCCCACACCTACTATGGAAACTTTCAAAAAAGTCTCACTATATTAACCGTTGTTCTCTCAGAGCCTATCTACATTTTTGTATCATATGATACGATTGATAATGTGTTGGTGAATGTGTAATAACAGATAACATAGCCGCATATTGCAAATAAAGATACTTTATTCTTTGCAGAGCAAACTGTGACTTATTCTCAAAATATTTCACAAAGTCAAACAAAAAAAACTCCTTTCCATCTTTAGTTTACGTCGTAAAACTCTTTAGATTTATTGTTGTATGTAAAAA